ACCACTCTGTGAGCCATCTAATTAGTCACTGTCACCCACCATACCTGGCTACCCAGCTCATTCACCTAACAACCAGACCTGGTGACCATGAGACCCACATTCCTCCTTTCAGAGGTCCCACACCACACAGTGACCACGCCTGCCCCAGCACTCTGGGGTCTGGGCCAACCTGAGCTTCAGAATTTAACATGGGCCACAGGCTACTGGACCACACCAGCTAGGAGAAAGACAGAAGAAGAGGCAAGGGGAAATGCTGCCTGCAACCAGGAGCTAAACCATGTGTACTCAGAGTCTCAATTCTCATACACACACACACATGCACACACACACATGCATGCACATGTATGCATCCGTGTGTGTGACTACAAAAATATTTTTACAAGACTTGAAAAAGTTGGAGCAGTATATCTTAGGTGGTAGAACATGGCTGATATCTTTGGTGCTTTTTCTTTATTTCCCCAATTTTCAACCAAAATAGATATATTTCTATGCCTTTTAATTGTTTATTATGAGTAACTTGAGACAGACAGGAAAGTAGGAAATAGTACAAATGCTCATAGAAGCAATGCCTGAGCTTAAGTAATACCCATACTTCAGGTGATTGGTGGTGGACCCAGGGCCTGGGGGTCTGAGGCCACTCGAGCTTTTAGAAATTCTCACACCCTATCTCCCCGCATTCACTCCTTCATGGGTGCCTTTTTCTGCAGAGAATGCCACCTTTCCTGGCTGAACTATGAGTATCCTGGGCTCCCAGGCCCTTCCCCAGATCAGTGTTCTCTGCTGCCTCAGTGCCTCTGTGACTGCCCCACTGCCTTGTGTGAGGCCCCACTTAGCCAGTGCACTCATGAATGAGAACTTGGTGGAGCAGGCGGAAGAGGAGCAGGACACACAGCCTGGGCGAGCAAGCTGAGGGAGACCTGGGAGCTCCACGCACCGGTGTCACTCTGCCCGACAACAGGGTGTGGCAAACGAGGAAGAGTGTCCTGCTCTTTCCTTGGGTGCTGCCTCTGTGCAGAGCTCCCCTTGAACGTCTGCCCTTATGCTTTGCTCACCCTGCTTAATTTCTCTGGTCCAGAGAATGGAATCCATGCACGGTGCAGGGAGGCTGGTTAACTGGGATATTGCCTGCTGTGTGAGTCCAGGCACTGTGTGTGGAATGCAGACAGCCATGCCTTTGGTATGAGCTGTGCTGCTCTATAGTAATCATAGAACTTTCTTTTCTTCCCTCAGTTCACACAACCACTGAGAATTTGTATCAGTTTAATAAAAAGAGAAGTTTGACGAAATTCAGGAAGTTACGCCAGTGGTTGGGGCTCTGAATCTGAATGCGTGCAAACTCAGGCTTTTTCTCTTTTTCTTTCTCTTTTACTGCCCTGGGGGCTAGGGTCCGTGCACCGGAGAGAAGTGCGTGTTTACAGAGCTGTGCCCCAGCCCAGGACGGTACAGTGGCTCTATCCAAGTGACATTGCCACTCCTCTTGGCAATGTGGGAGTTCTGTGAGAGCTGTACACACAGGACCTGGACAGAGCTGGTCACAGCCAGCATGCAGCGCCTGCCCCGAGGCTGCCTTGAACGAGCCTGTGCAAGCACTGTGCAGGCAGGGAGCCTGGTGGTGCCTCTCCTGGACACAGCATCTTTGACAGTGCAGGCTGAGTGACCGCACAGGTGCCAATGGCCTGGTGTCTGTGTGAGAGCAGCCAGCAGCGCCTGCTTCCCCTGTCCACACACCGGACCCTGCTGCTGCTCTGCCTCCCATCCCCAGCTCCACAGCAAAGGACACTGCGCCTCAGCTTTGGGAACATGGATGTGCTTAGGCAAAAGCTAGCAGGTGCTTTTGGACTGGCTCTCTATAAATACAACACGAAAGTATGTCTGACTCCCTTCCGTCTTACCTCCCTCCCTTTCTTCCTTTTTGCTGTACTGGGCATTGAATGCTTTACCCTGAACTACAGCCCCATTATTTCTCCCTCCCTCCCTCTTTCTAAGGCTGGGCTTGAATTTACAATCCTCCTGCCTCGGTTTCCCAGATTGCTGGGATTACAGATGTCTGGCGCTATCACATTTGGCAGAATTTCTTGATTTAGATACCTTGGAGAATAATAGTCCTGTACTCTGAGCAAGAGATGTGTGTCCTGGACAGGCAAATGACAAGTGCACTGCAGTTCAGGTTCAGGTTCTGCCCTGACAGACAGAACTTACATCCTCTAGAGCCTGAAGAGACACAGGGACCCAAGAGCTGAGACTAGTACTCTCTAATTTAACCAGTACACAAGCTGCTTATATCTATCAAGATATAAGAACTTCCTAACTATTCAAGATATAAGAACTATTTCTAACTATTCTAATAACCTACTAAAATCACTTGAAATAAAGTCATTAAGATCAGCCATGTTTTACCCTCAATCACATTAGATTATTTTGTCTTTATGGAGCTTTTAAAAAACTAAATTGGGCAGGAAGTTTGGTATAGGTCAGACCTCACCAGTGAGTTGGATGTTCAAGGAACAAGCTTCATTCATACTCAAAACCATGCCAGAGGCATCAAGTCCTTGCCAAGATTTCCCAAATTATTACACATAAAAATCAGAACAGCAGTGCTCTCAAGGGGAAGGTGCTGGCTCAAACTGATTACTAAAGATTCAGTTTGCAAGGTAGGTGTAACAACTTCTGTAGTTTAAAGTTTTCCATTCCTTGGTGGAGGCCAGAAAATACTAGGAAAACAGACAAATTCTGGAAATTAGGGAAGGCCAGTGAGCATACATAAATAGGGGAGCGGAAAAGGTTCTAAACCTGAAACTTTGTGATACTGTATCATTCCTTAAAGTGACAAAAAGGTATGAATGCTACATGTGAAATGGGTTAATTTCATGCTCTGCAAATATACATTAGTGAAGATGTTAACCAAAATTCCTCAAACGAACAAACAAGATGTCAACATTTGCTAATGGTTTTGAGAGTTGGGTATACACCCAGCAGACTTACAAGAGTAAGAAAGCCTCCAGCCCCCTATGTGTTTAGTAATGCATTCTGGGTGGTGACCAAATCTCAGGCACACTGTAGAATCGAGTGGGGGCTTATAAGAAAGCCTCACCCATAGATGCGGATGTTCAGGTGTAGTGTGGATAGGGCAGAGGGATTCTTCATACTGCTGGGTTTTCTAGCACAAAGCATGATGTGGTATTTGGTAGTCACCCACGGCTGTGGAGTAGACCTATGTGTTGCATACCTTTTGGGGTTCTGAGACAAAGAAGTCTGATTTCAGGGTTCACTGCTGTTGGTGGCTCAGGGATGTCTGCTCTTTACAGGGAGAGATGTGTGGGGCGCATGGAGGGGGCACCACCCCGGGCACAGAGTGCTGTCTTGTTCATCATTGCCACCTGAGTGTGTGCCCATGGGACTCCTGCTGCGACCGGGCTTAGGGGAATTCTTGAAGGGCCAGAAAAATTCTTTCCTGTTTCTCTGCTCTTCTAGGTTTCTAACTACAGATAACTGAGAAGATTGAAGACAAAATACACATAGCCTTGAGCTTAATGATTCAGCAAAGCTCTGGTCAAGAGCCCAAGTCATTTCTAGGGTGTGTGCTGTCTGGGTGTCCCAGAAGGAGGCTCAGTGCAGAGGCATGAGGCTGGGGTGTGGCTCGACCAGCAGGAACACTGGGGTCTACCCCACACCTCCCCCACACAGGCAGCAAAGACAGATTCTAGGGCACTGAGTCCCTAAGGAGGGGTTTGCCCTTGAACCTCCCAGCAGTCAATCTGATTTGCAGCATAAAGGCACTGTTCAGCTCCAAGACCCAGTGCTAAAATCCAGGGGTTGGAATTCCTGAGGGGTCTCCAGGGAGAGGTACTTGCTGCCCCAGCACCACGTCTTGGTTCAGTTTCCTCTGGTTAAGAGCACATCTCCTGGCAGCCCAGTGTTCTTGCAATGTGTGACAGAAAGACCACCCTGCAGACCCGTTTGGTGCCATGTCTTGGGTGGAGGGCACTGTGAGCTCCTTATTTACGAAGGCTTGAGTGCACTGGGAAGGACAGGTGTCACTACCTGCCCAGCCGGTGCTCCCAGTGCGTTGGGGAGGCCAGTTTCTCTGGAATGCCTGGTCCTCTTTGTGTAATGATGGCTTCTTTCACCAGAGGCCCTGACGGTGCTGTCATTCATGGCAGTCTTAAAGACAGGGGTCTAAAGACCCCCATCGGAACTGTCTGACGGCTGGTGTTCGGAGGCTTGTAGTCACTCCTCCAACTGTACCACAGGAAGGAGCCCCAGGCCACACCAGAAGGAAGGAACTAGAGGCAAAACTGGTGCGGAAACTTCCTCCTTTGTTCCCATCTGAGAAGGTCTCTTTGCTTTCCTTTACCTCATGGCACAAACTCTGACCACCCATTCATCAGTGAGGGTATGCTGGGCAACCCCAGCACAGGTCCCGACAGAGGATATCTATCATCTGATTTCTGTCCCATTTTCTCCATCTGCTGGTTCTCACAGCTGATAGAATGACCTGTGCTTTTACAATGGAATTAGCCCCGGAAGAAAGACACCAAGGCAGCAAGACAGAACAGAGTGGCCAGTCCAGAAGATGGGAGTGTGGAAAAAGGAAAGGTCTGGAAAATCACCGGCCATAGCAAGCTCTGTGGGGGTGTGGGGTGAGGTCCCCTCAAAAGGGGCCGGGGCTTCTGTGCTCTTACCCCAGGTCCTGGAGCAGCTCGCCATCCCTGTCCGGTCGACTCCACAGGTCTGAGGGCACCCGGGCACTCATGCTTGCTCCCAGAGGCTCTGCTCTGCCCATCCGCCTGTTGGCTTTGCTCCCGGCCAGGTGCAGGGGAAGGGAGGGCCGGTTTAGCTGTCTTCACTCTCCCAGAGCCTGTCTGGCTGGGAGTCCCCAGCCAGCAAGGAAGTGAAACCTGGACTCCTCCCACAGCCCACAGCCGCCCGCCCTGGCCCGGGCCCCATACAAGAGCTGTCAGCCAGGAAATATGCACACTGAGGCCGCCCACTCTGCTTACCAAGGGCTCTTGCTGTCAGAGGATGCAGAGAGCCACCACCTGGACCTGGACACTGCCCGGATGCTGCCCAAAGTGCCCCTTTGAAGATCCTGTGTCCCATCACAAACACAGGAGCAAGGAGGAGCTTCTGCACCCAGAGCACCTGCAGGGTGAAGAAATTGGGCCCAAGCCCCTAGCTCGTCCTTCAGTTTGCTTCCCAGCCCTGTCTCAGGGGTCTCCACGGCCATCCAAGATTCCCAGCACAGCGGAGGCTCAGGCTGAGACAGTGCTGTCCTTCCTGGAGGAGGGACTAGGGAGGAGAAGATCAGGTGTCCTGTGCCCACCTGATGGAGCTCCACCCCCTGGCCTCTGCTATGTGTCCAGAATCCCCTGTGGAGGAGGGCCTCACCTGTCCCATTGTTCTTCAGGGAGTGCCTGTGACTCTGAACCTGGGAGTGGAGCCCTGTGCAACAGGGCGTGAGGAAGAGCTTGCTGGGAGGTGCGCCCATTCCTCTCCCTAACTCTACAGACCAAGGGTCCCCAGGGTGACCTGAGAGGGCTTCTTTGCTGGTGGCTCAAGGCTCAGCTGCCCTGGCCCAGAGCTCCTCAAGGTGGACAGGACTGTGCTACAGGAGCCCACCCGTCAAGCCTGGCCTTGGGGCCTCAGCCCACACCTGCTTCGGTCTGTCCCCAGGTCCTTCCCTCAACTCTGCCTCTGGCTAAGCAGGAGAGGCAGCTGGGGGGGGGGCGAGCTCCGACTGCGCAGCGAGGAGCTGAGGGGGCACGGAGCAGAAGCTGGGCAGGCCACGAGAGGCACAGCCTGGGCACCAATTTCCTCTTCCTGCTTGGTAGCCCTTTGTTCAGTGCTTCAATTTCTCCTTTGTTCCCGTTTTAGCAAATTCTGTTTTTTAAATTTTCTTCACTGGTTTTGGGGGTGGGGGAGCAGCAGCATTTGCCTAGAGGACCTCTTCTGACCTTGTCATCCTTCCGAACCTCTCCCTTCTCCCTCTGCTCTCCAAGCTATGGCCTCCTCCTCCCCCACGTAAAGCTTCGATCTGTCACTCATTCCCTGTTCCGAGCGGCACGTGTGCGCATGCGGGGTGTCCGCCGCAACCCAACCCCGGGCTTCACAGCACACTGGGAGGTCAGCAGGTGCTTGGTGCCGTGCTGCACACCCAACCGTCCAGATGTTATGTTTTCAGTACTTCCCCAAACCTCCCCAAGCTATATTTTTAAAAACCTTCCTAATTTGTTTACTTATTTCACTGCTCTGTCTTCAGTGCCGTTGGTTCACAGTACTGAATCTTTTCCGCACTGGCCCTGACAGAAGCGGACACAATCAAGCTAGTTTTAACAACTTGGGAAAATTTCATTCTTTGTTAAATTATACACTACTATATTTATTTATATCTAATGCAACATATTTTTAAGCAAAATATATTTGCATATGCATACATATATACTTAAGTGAGAATATATACTTTATTTTTTTTACACGTGTTCTGGAATGCTATGTACGGATGAAACCCAATGCCTCCTGGGGACTGAGGCCTGTATTTAGGCAAGTGTGCTCGCCCAAGCCTCACCCCCAGCCTTTATTTATCAGCTACCCAGGCTCTGGTATGTTACAGTGGTCCAAACTGGTGAAGAATCGTGGTTTCCTGCATGACTTAAAATCCTGAAAGAATAAGCTCAGGAGACCCATGGCCTAAGCCCCCAGATACTCAGTAAATATTTCGTAAAGATTTTTCAAAATTAATTTTATTGGTACATTTTTGACATAGATAATGATCACATTCATCCGGGAATTTGTACCTGTATATATTATATCTTAATTCTTTCTTTCCCGTTCACTTCCCTTCCCTTCAGTCCTTCCCCTCTCCATTTATAAAACTTTGTTTCTGTTGTTTTTCTTCAATTAAAACAAAGTTCTTAAATCCCTGTGCCCTTCCTTCCCTCCTCCGCTCTTGTTCCCCTTCTCATTTAAACAGGTTCTTCCTACTTCCCAGCATCTATCCTCCATTTTGCTCCTGATTTACCCTTTGAGTTTCTCACACAAGAGAAATAATGCAGTATTTAATCTTGGGTTCAATTTATTTCACTTAAAAGTATGGTCCCAAGAGGCACCCATTTACCTAAAAATGTCTCAAGTTTATCCTTCTTTCTGGCAGAGCAGTGCTCCACTGTGTATAAAAACCACATTTGCATTATCTCATTCATGTGTTGATGGGCATGTGGGCTCTTTCCAAGATTTAGCTATTACAAATTGTGCTGCTATAAACATGGATGTGCATATGTCCCTGTGGTATGATGCTTTTAACTCTTTCAGGAAGATACCTAAAAGGAGAATAGCTGGGTCAAATAGACCCTCTAGTCCTCATTTTTTGAGGAATATCTACACTGATTTCCACAGTGTTTGTACCAGTCTGCACTCTCACTAAGAATGGAGAAGTGTTCCTTTTCCCCCACAGCCTCACCAGCATTTGTTGTTGTTGATTTCTTGATGGTAGCCATTCTTTCTGGGGTGAGACGGAATGTCAGTGTTGTTTTAAGTTGCATTTCTCAAATGACCAGTGAGCAGTTTTTCATATATTTATTTGCTGTTTGTATTTCTTCATCTGAGAAATGTCCACTGCTTTCAGATGCCCATTTATGGATTGGGTCTTTAAATCTGGAGGGTCTGATTTTTTTAAGTTCTTTATATATTCTAGATATTAGTTGTTTGTCTGAGGAGTAGCTGGTTAAATTTTGTCCCATACTGTGGGTTGTCTTTTCACTCTATTGGTCATTTCTTTTGCTATGCAAAAACTTTTTAGTAAGATGAGACCCCAATTCATTCTTTGTAAAGATTTCAATCACTGAGAAATGCAAGACAGTTGAGTGGAGAGGCCAGCTGCTCCAGTGGATGTACAAGTGGTGGTGAGAGGCGCTGTGAGCCTTTGGAGTCATACCTGGTCACAGGCCTCTGCATCTGGTCACCCCACTGTTTTGGCAGCTGTCCTCACCACTGTTTGGGTTCATTCTGCCCAAGAGCACTGGCTCTTGGGCCAGTGCATTTGGGTCCTGTGGGATACAGACCTGTTCTCAGTCTCTGGCATGTGCTCTTCTTCACTACTCCATGTGGAACTCCACAACCACCTCGTTCTCTATCCACACCAATAACAGATTGGCACCAAATGGCTGCAGCCAATACTCAGTGTATGTTTGTGTTGGAGTGCCTTTCTAGGGATAGTTATTTGTCTCCTGTGCATTGTTCTTATTTATCTCCAGGTCTCTGTGCCTACTCACTCTGAGGGTATAGAGTGGGAACATGAGTAGTTTGGAGGTTCACAGGTTGGAGGTGACTCACCTTTTGAAATGAGAGTTATAGGCGCATACAGACAAGATGAACACACTACCTGCAGGGAGCTGGGTGGGGCTGGGTGGAAATTCCTTGCATTCTCTCTCGACCTCTCCCTAGGTCCCACTGTGGTGTTATGTGGTGTTATGGGTTAGATCGAGAATGTCTCCCAAGAGCCTCATTTGTACCTAGGCAGGGCTGTTGGAAGAAGACTGGAGGTGGGGGCGCTAAGCTGCCCTGCTGTTAGGAGTTGGTAAGAAAACGTGGCTACCGGGGGGTGTGACCTGGAAGGGTGCGTATTCCTCCCTGCTCCTCCCTTCTCTCACTGCTTCATGGTGGCCATGAGGTGAGCTGCTTTCCTCTGCCCAGCCCTTCTGCTGTGCCATATCTGTGTTTAACTCTGCTGAACATGGACTGAGACCTCTGAACCATAAGCCAAAATAAACCTCTCCTCTTTTTAAGTTGTAGAAGTTGGGTATTTTGTCCCAACAAAAAGGAAAGTGACTAAGGCAGGAGGGGGTCATATCAGACTCCTTCCCTACTTCGAATATATTCTTTCAGTGACGATTTTTAAGCAGAGAATTCTGGTGAATTCCTCAGACCATCAGTCATGGGTGCCTATGTCTAAATCCCAACATCAAACATGTTTTAAAATCCTGTGCAAAAGGAGGAGTGAGTCTAATAGGGCAAGAAATAGGGTAGGAGGCTGAAGAATGAGGTCTTTGTACTCTGCAGTGATTCTGCAGGTCTAGAACAATGCAAGACCACTTCCCAGAAGCTATGTGTCCATGTCATCCCCTTGCTTCTTCCCCAAGGTTCACAAGAATAAAGATCAGATTGAGTTTGGTTTGGTAAAAAGTAAATGTACTCTTAGGCACCTTCCCTGTGCTCTGCAGGACAACACCTTCAATTTCCTGACTCAGTGCAAAGTTGGCCTCTTCTTGGGGTATGTTTTCTTTTGTGTCTTGAGTTAGGTGACTTTCTGTGCTGCTACACATCTCTCCTCCTGTGATGTACATTGCCCTGTCTTGATTACAATATTTTTGCACTGTATTGACATACAACACCTTTTCTGTGATGTGTTCCTCAAGATGGGACTTTGTTGGACTGAAAGGGCACCATTCAACCTCCGTCACCCACAAAAGATCCCTTGCACTTGTTTTCAGAATATATATTTTGAATACTGCTTTTGTTTAGCTTTACGTGAGATTCTATGAAATATTTCTTTATCTTGTGGCAATTTGTATCATCTGTCTCTATCCATGCATCTGCTTCCCACACTCTTCTGTTCTGCTCTGTGTCTTGTCTACTTCCCACCAAGAGGAGGGCTAGATTTCCCTCCTCTGCATCAACCCTGGCATCCACTACTTCCCTGCAAAGTGTGGGGAGGCCACCTTGTTTGAAGTTCAGAGCTGGGTCAGAGGAGCGCTTTTCACTCTGTTATGCTCTCCCGGGATGGCCCCTCTCTGGGACTCCCCCTGGAGTTCCCTTCTGGAAGCTTGGGTGACCCAAGAAACCAGGCCTTGTGGAGTATTCCTGTGTACTGTGTTGAAGTCTCTGATGAACCCTGCTCAGACCTCCTAACTGGGGACTGCACTGGCCAGATTGTTGCTGCCACTCAGGCATCCTCTCTTCCCCTGAATCCAAACCACATGCACAGAGTCAAATGTTTGCTGTCTTATGCCAGTTTGGGGGTCTGTTGCCCTGTAATAGGCAGCTAAAGCACTTATCAAATGAATCATTGCCTAGACCAATGGTGGTGAAGCTATCGCACACATGTGTCAATGGGCATGCAGAGCCCCCTCTGTTGGCACAAGAGACCAATTGCCCCAGCATTTCTCCAGCAGCTGAGCATTGGATAACAGCACACAAAGGGGCTATGTGCACGCTTGGAAAGGAATAGTGGCACCAGGCAATGATGTCATGAGTAGTTTGTGCACTCAGTCTCTAAAAAGTTTGCGATCAC